CAGCTGTATGTTGTTGTATGTCATAGCCCTATTGCCAGGTTCACTAACCATCAGTTTGTTTCATCTCGAGGGCCTTATCCAGCAAGTTGGTGACTACTAAAGCGAGTGAATTAACCAGTAAGGACTTTCATGCGTCGTCACCAAGTTGTGGACTGACCGCCACTAGGTGTCTTCACCGGGCGGCCCCATCTAAATCTGTCATACTTTCGTGGCTGTTGGGCTTTAGTGCTGTACTGATTCTGTGGACCACATTGGCTGGAATTCCGTTCCTCGATGTCCAGCCATGTAGGAAGATCAAGCAGGATGATCAAGTAGATCTCCCATACCGCAAAAAACCATATTACGAGGTGATCTGGTGACCATTTTACCCTATTCGCTGCCACAGGAGTTTGAGAACGGCAAAGAAAATCCCCCAGGGGGCTAACATTTCAATGCCTAAAGAAGCGGCGATGTCGCAACGATCGACCCTAAAATCCACTCATTCTGCTCACCCAAATGTTGACCATAACCATTTGTCGGAAGAACGAATAAACCATTTCACAAGGCTGATGCGGCTCAAAAACAGCTGCTGTGAGCAGTAGCGTCAACAGTCAGGCATCCATGCCTTATCCTTTGCTCTCTCAGTCTCTGACAAAGGGTCCCACGTTTTTGTCCCCTAATATAACCATGATGCAACGTGTACTGAATTTCTCAAAAAGTTGAGAGCACTTATGGGATGGCAGTTGATGAGTTGGCCGTTGATCTGTTCGCTGGGCTTAGCAGTTGCGAACGTTTCATCGCCACCCTGGAAGGTATCATCATTGTGCTTTTGGGTGGGTAGGTCCTCTCTTCGTGCTTCCGCTTATACGGTTTGCGACACAGTACACTTACGGTCGTTGCTTTGAGGTGAACATCTTAGTTACGCGACAAACGGGATATAGTTTACTAGTTAGTTAAGCATCATTTCCCTTTTAAGAGGTGAGCTCACCGATGCCTTTGCTTATCTTCAAACTATTTAGAAGGAAGTCGATATCTTGGCCTTAACTGAACACATACAAATAGCATCAGCTGTATGTTGTTGTATGTCATAGCCCTATTGCCAGGTTCACTAACCATCAGTTTGTTTCATCTCGAGGGCCTTATCCAGCAAGTTGGTGACTACTAAAGCGAGTGAATTAACCAGTAAGGACTTTCATGCGTCGTCACCAAGTTGTGGACTGACCGCCACTAGGTGTCTTCACCGGGCGGCCCCATCTAAATCTGTCATACTTTCGTGGCTGTTGGGCTTTAGTGCTGTACTGATTCTGTGGACCACATTGGCTGGAATTCCGTTCCTCGATGTCCAGCCATGTAGGAAGACCAAGCAGGATGATCAAGTAGATCTCCCATACCGCAAAAAACCATATTACGAGGTGATCTGGTGACCATTTTACCCTATTCGCTGCCACAGGAGTTTGAGAACGGCAAAGAAAATCCCCCAGGGGGCTAACATTTCAATGCCTAAAGAAGCGGCGATGTCGCAACGATCGACCCTAAAATCCACTCATTCTGCTCACCCAAATGTTGACCATAACCATTTGTCGGAAGAACGAATTAAACGATTTCACAAGGCTGATGCGGCTCAAAAACAGCTGCTGTGAGCAGTAGCATCAACAGTCAGGCATCCATGCCTTATCCTTTGCTCTCTCAGACAGAGTCAGCCCTCAGGTGCCAGATTGTTGGGAGGCGTCCCAGAAAGAAAGCCTAAGAAACGTCACCTTACAGCTAGCACGATTGGGTCAGAGGCTAGAAAAAATTCCTCGAACACAACCATGCCTCCACCCACCCACTACCTTGTGAGTCAGACTTTTGGGTCACCCAAACTTCATTCTTCGGCTTGGACAACCAGAAAGTACCATTCGCGCATACAACTTCTCACTAATCAACCATTCACCATACATCCCTAAGCTGCATGCACAGAAAAGTCTCTGATGGTTAAAATAGGGGACAAATTAAAGCTATTCTCTTATCTGTCCTGCATGCACAGCCGTTTGTCTCAGAAAAGTCTCTGATGGTTAAAATAGGGGAAGTTGTTATATGTTGTTTGTGCCTCTTAGGTTGACTATGTCTGCCCCGGTACATCTGCCCGACTGCGTATCCCAGTCAACAAACACAATCTCTTCTTTAAGGAGTCTCAGACTGGAAATTCTGGAATGGGATAGCATATTTAACGTACCAAGTGCCCACCAAAACATAAAACCAGTCCCAACACTTAATTCGGAGCACATCGTCCGGACTGATAGTTGTCAACTAACAAGATAATGCCAACTGCTTAGACCGTGTCAGCAAGCCATCCTCTAGATGTGACTTAGATGCCAACATTCATTCTCCTTTGAGCTCGGAGAGACGGAGCTGTAAGGAAAAAATGTGACTTGGATGCCAACATTCATTCTCCTTTAAAGTGCCAATCTCATAAGCTCGGAGAGACGGAGCTGTAAGGAAAAATCCCAAGGTTTCATGCGAGGATTCTTGAACGGTTTAGTGTGCACCCTTACACGATCAGAACTGCGCGAATACCGAGTACAAAGTACATTAAGATCCCACTCCACGAATCCATGGAACCCGCGGGAATCAAACGCTCTTGCGAGTACACGCTTGGAGCCATGAGACTGAAGCATAATTCCGCACAACTATTGTGAAGGAACGGTTGTTCGGCTTATTAACTTGCCCATAAAATAGAACGAGTAACAATAATTGCCCGTTAAGTGAATTTGGCATACTTGAATTGCACCTTTCTAAGCAAAAAAAACAAAACGGAAATCGAGGAATAAGCAGAAAAAAAGGTTGTTGCTCGATGGGTTGTGATTTCTATCGAATGCCGTGAAACGACCTACCTACCGTCGGTCTCTGCGCAAACCGTGAGTTCGTTTGTCTGAGAGTATCTTACATACCGGAGGCTGCTTACGGTCCAAATCTCACATATTCTAGAGCGCGAAACCGTAATTCCATCAGCCGAGCTGTGCAGCGAGCCACGCGAAAAACGCGTTTACCAAAGAAACCTTGAGTAGTTTTGGTTGGGATAGCATTCCAAGGGCACTAGAGTAACAAGCTATATCGAAGATGGTTCAATTTAGGTTGCCAACCGTTAACCATGTAGCGGAACACGTCGAACAGAATAGTCTTGATCGCCAATGGATGCACTTCTGTGTGCCCACATGGATTCTACAAAGTGGATTCTATAGAGCGACTGATTTCTGTCAGCAAAAGTTGATCTGTGTGAGCTATACTCTGAAGCGCGCCCTAGTACTGATTACATTTCGCCAGTCACCTGAGTTCAAATTAGGGGTTTCTGGATGTATACTCGTTAGCCTCACCAACTCCGAGCAACCTAAGTCTTGAGTGTGGAGTGGTATACGCTCTAAAGACATTTCAACCTAGGAGACAGCTTACCTCTAGTAATTCAGATAGATTTGAAATCAATCTCAGGCTTACTTCCCTCGGGGACAACTTTTAAGGAAATTAAGAAATACGTACCAATTTGGAGGTGAGGAGAGTCTCAAATATTCGCCTAAAGTATGCAGTACTCTTCCAGAATTTGGCGCAATCAAACACCCACTACTTGTTCATAGTAGTGCCTGAAATTCTCAGTTCCGTCCCACGTGCCGAAGTAAGGCGTCACCTGTTACTACACACAAACGTCAAGTATGTGGGTGTTGCTTGGCTTTAGGTGCCTGGAACACGAACTTGTTCCCTTGTCAGTCCAAATATCTAGTAACGACAACAGACAAAGTTTCGCTGCAGCAGGCAACTCACCCTGGGGAAACTCATTTGGCCCGACAGTCATGTGTCGCCTCGGGTAAGAACACCTCGGCAGTCCATGAACTGAACGGATAGCTAAACGCACAGACCACCTGTAGAATGCAAGACAGGTAGGGAAGCTGTGAACCAAAGAAATTGCTGTTGTAATTATTAGGTCTTACTATCTGGAAGCGACTTCCTACTGCATTTTCAGTAGTGTCTTCAATTAACCCATATGTTGAACTGGTTTCCGTAATGCGGACTATCGAAAACAGCTCACATGCGTTTCCTGTCGTACTAGTTTTCTCTCCATATATTACGGTTTCTAATTCCGTCACACCTCCCTATTTACACATAAGTTCCTTGTGGGCTAGGCCCAGATGGATACTTTTGAAATTAAGGACTGGCCGATCACTTTGGGATACGGTGGTTCTTGAGTGTTCGCTCGGAAACACCGTACGTTGAATTCCAGCGTGGCGCATGACAATGATCGGCTGTCCCCAGTTTTCACTTATGTCTTCCAAGGAGACGCATTTTGAAGCACACGTTTGCTTTGTCCATGGTTCACAATACTTCCCGACTGCCAAACGAGACTTGCCCTTCAACTTTACTTAGGTAATCTAATAATTCTCACAGGAAAATAGCATGACTTGAGTCAACCACGTACTCCAGAATAACCGGCAGTCAAGTACTGAGCCTAACTATCAATAGACAACGGGGATTCGACCAATTCGTCTCCATGGTAGTGTAGGAATACCAGATAGCTTGACGGCGCCAACTAAAAGTAAACCCGATGCAGCAGAGAGACAACTGGTGGACGGTGCGAAGTTAAAAAAACGGTCACTGTGGAGACTACGCTCACAATAAACGTATCACCAAGTAGGGTCTGCAACGAACTAAGGTACCTTAGTTGTGCACTGAAATCTCCAGCGATAGAGACCACACTAGAAAGACGCCTGACTAACTTGTCTGAAGGTGAGCGATGAATAAGAGGAAGAGAAGTTGATATATAATGCTGGAGAGGAGATGCCCCGCTATGGCAGCGAACAAGTGCAACAAACAGACAAATTTAGCAGGAAAACCAACCCACCTGAAATCGCGGTTGTATATGGCTTGAGATGCTGCAAAAGCACTCGAACCTCGACAGAAGAACAGTTTGAGTCACTATCAAAGGCGCTAGCCCAAGACAGCCACAAATGAGTGCTGGCGGCTTATTTTTAACAAGATGTCGCGCCTGTTCTCACTCCAACTTGGAGTACCAGGAAAGCTCGTTTGTCAACCTGACCAACTTGGTAGGCGATATCCACTCGGTAGACACGACGTTGGTACTCTTTAGTGTAGTTCGACGAGTGAGCGAAGCATAATCCACCAATTTGCTTCGCAATTGATCTTACAGAAGATGAGCTGACGTCTGCGATTTTTATCCTCATCACCTGTCACACACACGCCATATCTGCCAAAGTGAGTGACCGAAGAGAATGGGATGACTGTGTGGTGCCCGTATGTGTCGGAACAAGAGCAAGCCTTTGAGTAAGAATGTCATGAAAGTAAAATGCAAACAAAGAGTCAAATAAAGTCAGTAACGAGAACTATGTACAGATACACAGGTGAGCGCGTTCAGGTCGTAAGAAGAGAACATTGCTGCTTGCAACAATCATCACAGGACAATGTAGCTGAACAAGAAATTCTAAGATAATCGACAGGACCACATGTAGGTGAGCTGAGCAGTAAAAAACAGCATTAGCTACTTGTTGCGGGGGCGAGGAGAGACCAGAAGACAAGAACAAATGGAATTTGACTGATGAGATCACCGGAAAACGGAGGAAAACTGGTACGATAGAATAGTGGGCGTAGGAAATGGTAGTAAAACAGCGACCATCAATTCGAGATAAGGAATGAGGAAAACCTACGTTGTTTTCTGTAATAGGAACAGTAGACCAATTTGGAGACAGGGTATACACAGTCCCTTTCATCAGTAAACGTGGCGAAAAGTTCCAATTTTCAGCTATAAAAGGTAGCGGAGGGAAAGCCCTAAAAACTATGGAGTTGAAACCTCATGGTTAAGGCCGCGGAGGGTCGTCCAGAGGTGTGCCGGCGATCGAATCCGACTGTGTTGTTGCGCTCTGTTGCTCTGGTAATTTATCCAGATTGGTACCAAAATCACGTCGGATTATTTGGTCCATAGGAGGCAGTGAGGGGACATCCGGTGCCGTCGGCTTGCAAATATCCACCGATTTGAGGTCGTCGGATGAAGTAGACTTGAGGAGAGCAGTCTGTCGTCTGCAAAAATACGTGGTCAAGTGTGTCTTACGAAGAGAGCAATAAACAACGATCAACCATCGCACCAGACAAGACTAATGTCTCTTTTGAAAACAGCTTACGACAGTTAGGTAGTTGCGGGTATAGTGAGTACAACAAACAGAAACCAGTAAAGCTATTGGACCCCCAAACAACTCTGTGATTATAATAACGGTACGACGGGGAACCAGTACAGTCGCAGTTGAATTTGCTAAAGTTCCAGTTACCCAAAAGCTTTTTTGACCTAGTTTATTCAAAGTGGGTCGGTGGGGTATCTTATCCCGGTTTGCAAAACACACCCGATCTGACGCAACAGTGGAACTTGAAATAGTAATTAAACGAATCAGTCTCCAAACTGATCTTCGATGTGTTTGGATCAACAAAGTTCAAAAGATAAACGGTACCTGTAAGCGCTTCACAAGAGAGCTGACGGCACAAAACACGGGAAGTAAATGTGCACATCGACTGCTTGTTCTTGAGTGGCAGAAGTCACTTGCTTGAAACTGCACATCACGTTTTCAATCACATTTAACTGAACTTAGGAATTGGGCAATAAAACGGGAATCCTGGCTTACTTGTTTACGGAAATGAAACAGGACCGCCTACGATCAATTCAGTGATTAATTTCACGGTACACCACGAATTTGGGCCATTAGGCGAGGTAATAAATTGCTGTCGAACGAAACGAAAGGACTGTTAGCATAGGCCACCTTCCAGAGTTTCTTACGTTCTCTACTATTAGCCAGATGTCAGTCGCATAAATTTTGGTCTGTGTGCAATAAGTGTGAATGCGAAAGGGATCATTAGATGCTGCAATCAACTGTTTTTTTAAGCCTGACCCACCCAACCGCGGCGCACTGACGATGTCGCTAAGACTAGCGAAGAAGCGTCTGCAAGCTCGGCTAACAGATCACCAGCTACAAGAAACTTCTCATTACTGTTTAGATGACTTGGAAGGATTCTCGCCATCGTAGCTGTTTATTGATGTGTAGTCCACACAATGCTGTTACGGTCAGCTGTGTTTGTTAATTTAGGATCCTCAAACTCGAAACCAGTCTATCAAAACATGGGCACTCGAATAATACATGACCTTTAGCAAGTAAACACCCTAACCCGTATGAATATCACACCACATGTTATGGGGATATGAAGGGCCATCGGAGCCATATCAAGTTAAGCGAATAAATCACTACTCATAAGGTTGTTGAAAACGTTTGAAAATATCATGAACTGGAGATTCAGCTGGATTCCAAGTGAGCCTCCCGTCAAAACCCAATTGATATGCATAAATGCTACCTCATTTTTTTGGAAGTACAAATTTCCGATCTAATTTCTACCAAACTCACTTCAGGGGTGACTTTCGTCCTCAGTTACTAAATGCAACTCCCTTCAGAGTCACCCTAGCACCACCCTCCAGAGGTTCTTGATAGAGCTCAAGTCCGGACTGTGAGCCAACTCACCTGATAAACGATATGAACACGATTCCTTGAGGCTAGGTCCTGTACGGATGCGTAATTCTATCCAAGAATCAAATATTTGTTTGGATTACCCACAATCACTGAGAGGAACTACGTACTCAACCACCTGCCCTCCGAGTAACATTGGCAGTGACTTTTTTCCCTCGTGAAGTGCTCTCAAACTACAGTGAGCCGCATAGCGACCTGGGTCACTAAAAACCCTTCCTTATCTCCTAAATCACAAAAATCGGACGATTCCCATGCTATGGAGGGCCCAGATTGAATCCTTTTTATCACTAAATATCACCTCCAAGCAAACTTCTAAACGATGTGGCTTGTCTGACTATGTCAGATTGGTTGTGTCCATACTAGTTTGATTTAAATCGGGTTCAAATTGACGTACTATTTATCCTGATGCACAAATTGCGATCACAAGCAGTTTTCGGGATCGACAGCCTCGTAATGTAAATGGGTATGACCCCTATCCCCCTTCCTTCCGATTCCACTCACTCTTTTTAAACAGTATCCCATTTTCAGATGAAAAATTCCGACTTTATCACGTTTAAATTGCTCGAAAGTTGTCGGCTACCCATTTCCATTAGTAGTATGCCATTAGTAGCATGCCTTGTTATGGATCACAAAATTCACCACCGATTAGCTTAATCTGAGAGCATAGCACATTAGTGAAGATTAGTCATGATCGAAATAACCAGACATGATTTTTGTAGGTTGAAAATAACTATTTAAAACGAACTCTTTCTTGCGTACGACTTATACGAATTAGCTTAGTTCGACCGTAATGGCATTTCGTGGATGAAATCTCTAAGGATTTGTGCATTTGACCTCAACAGCTAATAAGCATTAAAGATCTGGGCTAGAGCTGACCAACAGTAAGTTTGAAGTCCATTACGAAGAGAGTGAACCTTACCGTGGTGTGACCGCTTGTTTGCCTTCGTGGCTCATTGAGCTATACTGGGATGTGTGCGTGAAACCCCCCACAAAGTCTGTCATACCAGATTGGTCAATGGATAGAGGTCTGACCAGCACAGTCTCTTGGTTGAGAGTTGGAACAGATGCGGCGACTGGTTCTTTAAAAATGGTGATACACTTGTATTTCCCGCTAAACGCCGCTCCTTGTGGTCAAGCTGCTGAGCCAAATTCTTTGCTCGAGAACCCTAATCGTCCTCTTGTCTGAGCGTATCCCAGCCCATGTATAGCCATGATACCTACACACATCAGCGAAGCCTCAGGGTTGAACACTGATGTTATGCTGTCGACGTTGATGATGAAGTTTAAAGGAAAGCTGCTAATGTGGATGAATACAGGACAAAATAACGTCTGGTCCCAATAACATCGCGCGCACAATACGGTAACCAGTTTGCAGATGAGAACGGATGAGAAGAGGAATAACTGGATAAGACTGAGCATGCACCAGAAAGACTAGCTACATTACTCCACGGTGTTCATCCCAAATGTGGAGTTGAGATATGACCAAACTGGTACACCAATGCACTGATGCATCAAACAGACAAGACAGAGGTAAAGTTCCCAAATCTTGACCGATCTGACTTGAAACACGGAGACCCGAATATGTGGAATCTGTGTTGCTTGGTGTGCTCGGTAGTTCTGTCAGACTTAACCAAGGTTGCTTTCGAGAGTTTGGATATGAATAAAAATGAAACTTTGTTTGGTTATGAATTAGATATATAGCAGAGGCCGATTCCTACTATTCTGGATTACGCTACCTCAAAAGGATGAGAAACAAAGTAAAAAAGAAAACAATGGATCAACAGGATACCCCATTGCATCGATTAATGTCTAGAGCCAAAAAAGTAGAAAAACACCGAACGGACGGAATATTTTCACCTTATTCCTCAATTGCACTGTTTTCTGCCTTATTTCTCGCTCCCTCGTACACTATTTTATAAACTCAATAGCTTTTACAACGCAGGACCATATCAGACAATGGTTTGAAGCGAGTAAAGCAACAGACTCAAATTGATCTCATCGGTAATTTTATTGCCAATTTACGTCACACTGTGTTCAACCCATGGCAGACCAAATTTGACAGTCTACATCAATATGGGACGCCGAAAGTCCAAATAACAGCTGTTCAGAGCCCTGAAAGTGACCATAAATCATGTCAATCGATATGAGCAGATAAACCCAAATACTTTGAAAGTTTGGTCGGGAGTGGATGGGTCGGTAGCTGGAAATGAGAGTATTTATGACCTCTCGTTCCGACTTCAATAGACCGTCGAGATTGACTGTCGCTAACCACGAACGCCAACCACAATATAATTGGGTATAAACTCAAAAAGTGCCAGAGATGTGACTTAGTAAGGCCATTTTCTTGGCTAGTTTTATGACGTTGACTTGAGACTTGCATCGTTAAGCTGTCCCGTTAATTTGGACAGTAAATAGAGCGATGTCCACAAGAACGAAGAAGATAAACGGAGACAAAAAGGTTGGGTTGTAGAGGGCTAACAATGCGCATTCTTCTTATTGTGTAAAAACTGTCCAGTCTGAAAAGTGCCTAGCACCTTAGCGCTAAGTTTTGGAACCAATGGCAAACTGTTGCACGAAGCAGAATGGGGGTGAACTCATTCGACTGCCCAATCTTTCGTTCCGATTCTTCCCTGAAACTTTGACCTTTCATTTACATCCACAAGATTCGTAACACGTTACCGACGAAAAACTTTCGAAATGGTATTGTCCAGCACACTTTGTTTTCCCCTGTTTGACCGAAATAACTGAATGACCATTGTCCCTATTTTCGGTCACAGTGGCCCGTCACCCTGCTGCCACAGTGACAGCACCATAAAGAAGCCAGACAAAGCAGGCGTCTGTATTATGTCCTGATATCTGGTCAAGGCTGTAGTGATTAACCCCCAATGTTATCAAGCATATCTGATCGATGAACCGTTAACATTCACAGTTGCCGGACAATACTGTACGTAGATAGACGAACAACAGTAGGCGCAATGCGAAGTGTAAACCAACAGAACTGTGTAGGAAAGCGTGACAGAAATGAGGTGATTTGTAGTTCCGAAAGAACGTCCACTGAATTATCCACGAGGGCGACGAAGTTGTTATGGGAGTAGTAATGACGGGAGAGGTATAACACCACAGCGAAGACAAAAGTAAGTGAGTAAGTGAAAGACACTGACAACACTGACCAGTCCCCCCCCCCAAATCATCGGTGAACGAAACTGCGGCAGCTACAACCACTGTACGACGAGTAGGCGGTTGTTACAGCTGACACTGATGATGACGCTGCTGCTGCTGCTGATGAAACTGACCAGTAAACGAGAGAAACGCGATGTGTGACGTCATGGTTGCCTTATTTGATATGCGATTAGTGTACAATGTATGAATCTGGATTTATGACTTTAGCACATCATACTACGATTTCTACGTAAAACTAACAAATCAAGAGAGCTGGAGGACCTCACAAGTATAAATCGAACTGAAAGATAAATCACTCCAAAACGGACCAATCAAACAAGACCAAGCACGGACCAACTGGCGGATGACCAGTCAAAGATTCGCAGGTCCACTCACCTAGCAATTTGCCATGTCAGCAGTGCGCTGATCAAACTGATGAGCTTGAGTGCTAACACCAAACCCAACCAAACAAATGGAAGGCCGTCTACGTTGTACTGTATGCAAGAACCGTCTTGTGAAGAACCTGCTCGTGTGAGCATCACGCCTGCAGAAGTCGGAAGCTGGACTGTCGGAGGATCCGAAGAGTGATGAAGATTATTCGCTTTGGGCACACGATACTGGCAAACCGCATCGAAAAGTTGACCGAAATAGATCGGTGCAGGAATGTAGGCTTTAAAACGTAAGGGGAAAACAGTAAGAATGGAAAAAATGCAGAAGACCACCAATAATGATTGGCACATACGAATTTTCCGCAGTAAGGAGGAGCCCGCCTCTTGTGGGAGAGCGGACTAGGCAGATACCCGGCTAACCCCTCATAGGTTGACCCGTACGAATGACCACAGCGCGTCAAAAGTGGTGTATGCTGTTGCACTGTTCCCCCAGGAAATTAGCGAGGGCACATAAAAACGACGGTGTCTGTTTTGCAATTGATGGCAATCTTAAATGTTTGTATTGTAGACGTAAGCGTTTGCGTCAAATTCCGATAAACAAACTCCAAGATAAACAACTTCTGGTGTACCCAAAGGTGGGAATATTTAACTTGAATAAATTACGAAGAATGCAAGGGAAAATAATAACATGTAAAAAGATGGTTCCGACGGATGGTTTGGGTCTGGTTAGAAGGCACCAAGGAATGCAAAAAATGCAGAATGATTCTAACTGCCACAGTTTCTTTCAACAGGGATAGGGAGGATAAGATATAAACATTAGCTGAAAGAGACAACCAAAGCAATTTACTGACACTAGGCTGTTCCAATCACGTGATGAAGAAAGAAGGTCAACAGCAGCTTACTGTAAGCGCTGGTCCAGATGCAACAGCACCACCAACTGTGACCCGGTCATTGCATTCAGTAGGTGTAGGTTATGCTACACGATCCTCTGTAAAACTGAATCTACTCGTCAGGCAGTTCCACTGTTTGTGGGACGAATTTGTTTCGTACAATCTTATCAACCACAACGTGTACAAAACAATGAGGAGAGAGATAAATTAGGGCATCGTTGCGCAGTTTACACGGAACATAAAAGTAACGTGACGAAGCAATAGGATCAGTAAATTTACACTAACGACAAAGAAACTCCGGTGCATGTAAACGAGCCCTGTAGTTTGGGGAGACACACACCGATTCGCAAATTAACTTGGTGTTAATGGAAGTCTTGGCTGAATCTCATCCGAGCCTCTCGTTTACGATATTCCTAAAGAGCCCGCCTCATGATTCAGCCAGAACGACATTAAACACATTGAATTACCTGCCTTCACACGCCACTCTACTCATAAGGCCTCTTGAATGGCTTTGCAGTGTGACTAGCATACTAAACTAAGGTACGGAGCCGTTGGAGCAGATGGCCTTAGTCAGATGCCTATAAGAGGGCGAAGATATGACCAACACGGAAAGGGAAAGTATGACAAACGGGAGCTTCCTCCAACATTAACGACGGTTCGTCATGGAGGGACTACATTCTCCAGAAGGACTGTGAGGTGAACGAAAAAATCCCTAGTGATCGGAGCAGAATCAGATAGATCTGAAAAGTCTCTTCGCTGAAAACCGTCCCTCCAAATGTAAATTGCTTTCAGGGGGTTCAAATGACAATTGCTCAGTATAATCTTATAAACGCGAGCATCTAGTCGGCGGACGATGATGTGTAGGTGGCATATCGGGTATATTCCCATTATTCTTTGCCTAATTCTTTCAACAATTTCCACCATACTGAACAGACGTTCACGGTAAAACCCTTCCGGTGCCTAGCTAACATGCCACTCGAAGGAAGCACGAGGGCCGCAATACTGCTGCTCAAGCCTAGACAGAGGAAATCGAGATGCAAAGGTCGGGTTCGAAATACGAACAGTCCGGTCAGTAAATTCGCGCTCTACCCACTAAGCCAGCTCACCTCGGTCCGTGGTTCGAACCCGACCTCTCCTGTCTAGGCTTGGGCAACCTGGCAGTATCGCAGCCATCGTGCTTTCTTCGGGTGGCAAAGTGGCTGGGCACCGAAAGAGCATAACAGCTAAATCACGACGACGATATTGAACAGATATCACCTGGGTAGAAGTGGATTAGTCACGAAGGAAAATAGCTCCGCGGATAACGGGATAAGAGGTGTAACGGATCAACACAGTGATACGACAGAATCAGACGTAAAAGACGGCAATACGTCCAGCAAAATATTCAACGAAATATCTGTCACCATAGCTATGTGAGTTATCCTGGAGAGCCAAGTGGGTTTAAGCTTCACATTGTGAATCATCTCATGGACTGAGGAGGAACCAAGGACAACTGTCACGTGCATGTACATATGAGATGAAAAACCCTAGCTACACACACAATACATCGGTACAACCAATCTTTATAGACAGGAAAATCAAGAACAACGTATCGTTGAGATGATGCAATAACTTACCAAGTGTCCGCATGAAGAATAGCTGAAAGCCCAGTGCAACCGCACTGTCTTCAGAGGCTACACAGCTAAAAAGAAGTAGAGAACGGGTTGATTATCATTCCAAGAGTAAGACTGCTGTGGATGTATAGAGAGAAAGCTTAATCCTACTGACTAAGCATAAAATACTGGTCCCCAGTGCTTTGAATAAGGCATTTTGCTTGTAAAAAATGAGATCCTTTCGAATTTTGCGAAGTAGCCCACTACCTACCATCAAGGTATTATTTTGTTCTGGCTTTAAAAGATATAAATTACGCTGCTCGACCTGAGCACTGCCCGGTTGATTCATCCTTATCAATATCATAAGTACCGCATATCCAGTTGGCACTGAGAGATGTCCGAATCCGTAGTCTATGACAGTTGGTTTGAACACGCTACCTCTGAGTATTGTAGTCAACGGTCAAGGGTCGAGTATACAATGCTGCGGTGCGCTCCATCTTACTGGCCGCTGGGCGCTGAGGATGTCAAAAGACTTTCAGACGACGATTTCATCGATGTCTTCGGATCATTGCTCGAATCTGGTGGAAACACCGGATAAGCAATTCTGAAGTACGTTGAATGGTATCCGGGAGGAATAACTCACCCTCGATAGATGAACTAAACACACTGCACAGGTTGCGCTGGCTTGGCCACGTGTTGCGTATGCCAGTCGACCGACTTCCTCGAAGGGCTCTTTTCGCACAATCACGTGAAGGGCAGAAGAGAGTCAGAGGCGGTCGAACAATGACTTGGCAGCGAATTATGAAAGCCATTACGAGCGAACTCAGCTGCGCTGGTACTGCCGTCTTCCTTGATGGCCAGAGACATTGTCAGACATGGCCCAGTCGCGCCCTCAATGGCGCTCGTGCATCCAAGCTATTGCCTTCAGTGCATAGTTCCTTTTCCAACCTCTCCCCCCCTTGACATCTCACTGACAGTGCTGGATTTATGCACCAATTTATCAGCTCCCGCCTGCAATGCGCAGCTACCTCCCCCTCCCCCCCCCAAATCATCGGTGAACGAAACTGCGGCAGCTACAACAAATGTACGACGAGTACGCGGTTATTACAGCTGACAACGATGATGATGATGTAATCAAGTTACGATTCTAGATCTCTCTCGCAAAAAAACGTACGTACACATCATATACGTTGGAATTAACTGACTTCTCACCTGATGAAGTCTCAGAGGTAAAAGCAAATCATTTAGTGACGCATTGTGCTATGCAGCAATGTTCAACATAGGTGTTCCAGTAAGCCTGCACTTTTTGAACAACGAGTGTATTGTGATTGTGCAAAATAACACGAGATTATTTATAACAAAATAGGATTCCACGAGTCAACCAGTGGTGAGCACATTTGTGAAGGGATTCAAATTATCCATTTCCGAATTTTCGAGGCCTGGTATGAATCTGTCACGCCGACCACTAAGTTAGCTGAAACTATGGTCCTGGAATGTACCAAAATGAACCTTACAAACAATCGCCCAACTGTATGGACAGATCCATGAGCAACTGTGTCATTTGGTCTTATCGATCGTATTCTTATGTCACAGCCCAAATATACCATTATTTCACCTGACAGAATGACACCGATTCAACGGGCAAACATAAAATTTAGCCACCTGCGGAGTTGGGCAGATTGGTTCTATCGACTGACACAGTTTTCTGTCAAAGACAATTCCAGGACGTAGAAACCATGGCTAAATACGTCCTCAAACTAAGCCCGTGTGCAGATATATATCATCTCCAAAAAATGTAGTGCACCGGTTTCCATATCTCCAATTGTTTTCCATTATCACTGGCTACTGAAAACGGCAAAACTGTCTATCATGAGAACTTTGAATGCACAGAACTTTGCCCACCCCCTATACAGGCCAGTTTTCCCTTAGCGTAACTACCACACTGACTGGAACCACACAGCGAGAGCCCGTCAAACAGCTTAACCGCATTCAGATACAGTTGACTGCGAAATGTGATTGAGTGAAGTTATGAGAGTGGTCATAAGGCATGTGTAGGCATGCCTGTCGCTGTACCGTACAAAACCTTCCATAGGAAAATAGATTAGTAGGGTTATTAAATGAGAAATCAGAATTTGGCCGATTTGTCAGGTGATCAATTATTGCAGCAATTAGGCGGAAACACTCAACTCAACTTCCAAGGCGTAGCATTCAGATAACTGAGGAACGGATGTCCTGCATCCATCTTCTAATCGGTCGTCCGTGCAATCATTAAGCAGGATGGCTTAACTTTTTAAAATGAAACCGAGCGGTAGAAAATGGCTTAGCTTAAACACAATCCACTCCATCTCAAATCAGTGCATGTCAGCATGTATACTAAATGTAGACCATTATGTACCTGAGAGTGATGATGTTGCTGGGATTTTGCAACAAACCTGTGCACAGAATGTGAAGGAATAGGATCGCAAGGAAAACGATGTACTGGGAACAACCGGTTGGGCAGCGTCCAGGTGTCACGTGACCAAAATTAGACGCGCTGATACTTGTGTTTGACTGGGGATCTCCCGATGGGTTGACTCGATCACCTGTAACACATCTGCAGTGTGATAAGTCCTGAAAGTAGAGAAACGGAAGTTTCAAAAGTTCGTAATCACCTATTGGCGAACACTGAAATCTCATGACGTTCAAACGGGTTGGTTGAATACCAAGTTTTCGAGACAATATTCAGTTTAAAAGGTGACTGGGTACAACAGACTCCAGATGATCAACATGGTTAAACACAAGATAAATAATGGGCGATAAAAAATAGGGCGGCCGGAGTTAGAACCTTTACCAGCTGCATGGCATATAAGGACTAACCTCCTTCGGATCGCCAGGCAAATCGGATGACGCATCGCTTTGGGGACACCCAGCGAAACAGGGATTAAAGTATGTGAGAAACCTGGGGGCCATGTTAGTTTCATCCGATTCCGGGATCCTAACCACTTGCTTCCAGCAAACTGGATCAAAGTGTAATGAAGAGCATTGTTCCTGATTAGAAATTTGCTCATGATCGGCTTCACTGTCCACGTTTGGTAAAACACGGCGGTTGCATGGGGCAGTCAGATTGGGTGGTTTTAGTTGAGCAATACCGTACAGTCGAGGCCAACTGAAAACCCAGAATGATAACAAATATGATTCATTGTTGGGCGGGAGGGTGTAAAAGGGTGCAATACATCTGAATAGAAAGCGGGTACAAGAGGACTACGCGTCAGTCGAGCGATGAAAGTACAGCAAACGACCACATTCACGACTCCAACATACCAAATGAACTGTAGCGGCTTACATGTGAGCAACTTTATAAATATCGGCATCATTGTGACGTACTATGGTCGTGTTGCTCAGGGATGTTTTGTCTGTGACTTAGTACCGGTCGATAAACTAGCTCAATTTTGGAAACCCTTCGGAATCACATGCACAAATCATATCAACAAATAGCGAATTCATGTTTGATCAGCTGATTGCATGACAAAGGGCTACGACAGGCAGACTTGTCCCACCGCTGCTTATGTGGACTTTGTATGCTGTTACTATGGCTGTGTGTGTATGTTCGAACGACTAGAGTTTGGTAGCAATTATAACATTCAGGATGGAGCACTCAAGGTCAAAATCGACAATGACAACACAATGCAGGGAACTCAGAGCGAAAACTTACGGCTGTCCATCGTAGGTGGCGGTCAAGCCGGCGATTCGATTACCCGAGCAGCCGAGCATCATGAGACTCAGAGTGGTCACCACAGTCAAAGCGATCACGAGACAAACACTGCTAAGGGCTCGATCGATACGAGGCCTGTAGTGTCGCATGAAAATCGCACCTGTTATGATCCCGATCAGAGCACCGGGAACCACAACTGCACCTGGAAAATACGCGGAGAACAGACAATCTATCATCCAGAAGTGATATTATTGAATTCGGTTTAAAACAACAAGGCAGAAAACAGTCTGAAATTACGTAACAATAATTTATCTGTGGGTTGATTATCCAGCAGAAGAATCCACCATGCGACTAGACAATCACACTGTCACCCTGAAGGTATGTCATCCGTTTCTCCGAAGGCTTGTAAATGAAACCGAACAACTGCAACAAGGTTTCTGAGATTTCAGTTGGATTTACTTTACTGCAGAACCCACAAGTTTTCGGTGTGTACCAAAAACTTCATTTAAAAAAGTTGTTCAGTGCGCGCAGCAAACAGAAAGTAACATGTGTCCAGCTCACCACTGTTGGGAGCGTTCATCATCCTACTGCAAAAAGGACGGATAGAAACGGACAAATGGCAAACACTTTTCACTCAGCATTTAGGTTGATCTGCTCTTTACCGGAAATATGACGGTTAGCATCATATTTAATTAATTGCTTTTTATCACGCCCCATCATGTATGGGATTAATTAGTTCTCGTTGTTGCTTTCGTGCTTCTGAACATACCAAATTGGGAAGTTGGGAGTGACCGATTGTTCGGGGAATCATTACCTGATTGGGCGGTGATTGCGCGTACTGACCTGCCGCAACAGATGGTTGCAAAGGTATACTTTCGCAACACTGTTAACCGAGCACGATAACTGTTCCGCAAACAAGCTCAGTTATAAAATTAACCATGAATGGACGCGATAGATCGCTGTCCTGCAAGCTACACAACAGGCGGTGTCGACCTCAAAGTACCTTAATCAGCGTCCAGTGGCGTTGCTATGCGGTGAGATCCGGTCAGAGTTGAGAGAGAATGGTTATACATGAGGTCACGCAAACCGCGAATGCCGAGTAATAACAGGCATATTACTGATCGTATACTTTCTCGTGCTTTTTTCCGTACAAGCCAGGCTGCCTTCCGATTTGTCGAAAATCGCGGCCACCTTGTCCGGATCAACATATCAGGGAAAGATACTTGTTGGAAAATATACATTACCGTAAGCTGCGTTGGATCCAGTAGGACCTGTGTGTTCGAAGTTCAGTGGCGAGTTCAACAGGGTGTAAAAAGAGGCAAACAGTGGATGCTTTGGCACGAGGCCATGTAAAACATGGATGCTGAGGACCGAATCCATTTCTCAGAGTAACGTCCCGTGGCTTACTCCTGATTCTATGTCTGCCAACTGATGAAGACATTTTGCAGGTTTTCAGTCAGATCGCTGACAGCGTGTTAGAAGTGCAGAGATTATGATCTGTTTCTGTTTGGCTGAATAAGTATATAAAATAATCAACCAGCTGTAACATGCTTCTGGTGCTTAGCTACCATACCACCCGAATGACTGGTTGCTGAATTCTAGGCAGGAGTGGTTGGGCTTGAACCAAGAACATTCCGGTCCCTAAGTTCCCGCCTTAACCACTGAGCTATCTCAAGCTACTAGGAGGCTCAATTACTACCGGCTTTGGAATACCTCTCGCAGCAAAGATGTTTATAAATAGTATTGGTAGTATTGTTGGTAGTGTGATGAGATTTGGGATTTTTGTGGAGATTTCGTCCTGTAAGTGAAGCCAATCTATGCTGAAAAGCCGAGAAGCACTGTACAGCTGTTTCATCCTTATTGGGAATCATCAGCAGTGCGCAGGTGGAGCAGTGGCATCTCTGAATCTAGAACGAAAAATGCAGTGCTTCGCATTTTTGTCCGTAATCCCGGTCGTAGAAGTTAGTTAGTTATGTCAAAAAACCCCATGTTTGGGATGGCAAACAAGCAAATCCTTTGTACCTCGGAGTCTGTAGGCCACGGGAAGTCGTCCGATGAGCATGAGGAGTACGATACAATAACGTCAACATCGGAACAGAAAAACACAAACGCATACCTGTATGAATGCTGGCCAGATAGGGAGGTATTTGAAACACACCCTCGATATATTTGGCGGCGAACGTGAGGAAAGCAGCCACAATCGAGTGTTCCACAACAGTGGTGAAAGTGACACCAAACCAGACCGGGTTGACAAGAACTCGGCGGAGAACGAGTACAAACTCTGTCGGGGAGGAGGAGCAAGTAAAAATATGTTGATTGGTGGCTAAGAGCGTTTGTGATGGTATTTTATGGGAACATACTGAATTCGTACTTCAACTTGGATTCATACTTTGAACCCGACAAACACTGGAGACACCGTTCGACACAGGGAAGAGTTGTCTCGGAAGCCGAAAGTTTGACGAAACTATAAGCTTTTCAATAGGCGTGTACTATTCTTTGCCATCTGATAATAGTGATCTTGTATTCCAATATCTAACGGGAACTGAGTTATGCTACGAACTGATTCAAAATGCCACTTTTTTGTTTCCACACATGGCTGTAACAGTTATTGCTTCAAGGTGGCCTCAATCCTTTAGCCTTCTCCCTCCCTCGAACTCCATTGCAGATTTTGTAAACATTGGTCATTTCCAACGGGAGTTCGCTACATGCATTCACAAATTCATCTAATCTGTTGCACGTTGATTACTTTCCGAGGATTCTGGAAGTGAACGCCGAATGCGGCTTTTGAAGGCAAGTTGCTTCACTCTCATCATTTGTTTTTCGAAATTCATGATCCACTTCCTCAAGAAATCGTGGAAACCAATCCACAAGGCAGAAGCGGCACATGTTCAACGAACTTCACCGAGTAAAGAAAATCTGGAGTGGTGCTCTTCCTTATCCTTTGTAGAGTTGATTGTCTACCAAACCATTTTAGCACTGATTATGGCTGCAAACACATCCTTGGTGTCAATCTGCAAGGATAAATTTATCTCTGAATTCAGATTCTCGGTGATGAGAACAATGAACAGCCCAAACATCAGGAATGTCACACCTCAAATGGATATTGGGAGCAACTGACCTCCGGGTGAGTCCATCTGTTCGGACCAGTTTCCTACAAATAACGATTGATGACACTGAACGTGGATTGTTCCTTCGTAGCAGTGATCGGTTTTTGGAAAGTGACAATTTTTTCGGACTGACCGTAAACAACAAACGGAAGAGTCAGTTAGTTCAACTAGGGAAGGAACCCGCTATCGTCCAGTGTATTCACTAGCTGCAACTCTACATCAGTAGTCAGTTTATCCATCGGCTTGTGAATGGTGATGTTAATTAGGGTCAACATTCGAAATTTTTGCTGGATCATAATGCATCACCGTGAACCTGGTTTTTTATAGGCCCGGTAAGATGAGTACTTCGCCACCATTGCCTGTTGATTAGGTGGAATCGGCTTGAGAATGCTTCTCCAGCATTTAAGGAGACGTTATCAGTGCGCAGTTGAGTGGGTAAATCCTCCACTTCAGCTTGCGTCTACGTAGCCTCTAGAGTGCTGCAATGCGACTAACTGTTTAAGAATGGGCTAGTAAGTAATTTGATGGGTTCGTCCGGAATTTTTGTTGCGTTGTAGTCTGAGTACCTCGCATGAGTAGGGTCCACTAAGTACCTCCAACCGAGTGCAAGATAATCAGACTGCATAACAAACCAAGAAGGGGCAAATCAAATCACGTACGAGTCCATCCACAGGCGACCAATCACATCGCAGATACTTAATACAGCTTAGAATTTATCAACTCAAGCACGCAGTGAACTAGAAATATTGGTCTTCAGAATGAAATTTACCTTACTGTCATTTAATTTACTGCCAAAGATTGAGCACCACGCTAACGAAGGCGAACAACGAAAGCAAGATAGAATTCAGTGTAGCGCTGCCCGGGTAGAGAGAAGGAAATATTGACTGCCCGTTTTCACCTGACCACAAAAGCAACTTCGACTGACAACATCCTGGAGGTGATAATGCAGGTAACAATGGTTCGACAAAATGCTCACCTACTGCCGACTCACCATCAGTCTTACTGGCATCACGACATCGGGGAGACCCGTAACCAAGGACAAGGTAACCGTATCCAGTGAACTTCACTCAGCCCAACAATTAAACACGGAACGAGAGAAATTGCTTTCTTAGGGAACCGAATGGATGGATTAAGAAACCGATCTAATTCTCGGTCAGCATTAATCTGCATGCATCAATCTACGAGATCAAAGCGTGATTTGACCTAGCTAACTGTGATGATTGGAAGTGAGAATTCATCATGAGAGGAGAGATAAGTTCAGCTCTGAAGAATCGCAAACGAAGAAAACCGTCAAAATGTCAATCCAATAAGCCAATTATATCCATAATTCCAAACATAAATGAGTCCATGCCCGGGGATTAGGAAATCCAAAAGGTAAGCCCCTGCGAACGGTCACATGACCAGGTGCGAGAGAAGGAAAACCTGGCATGTCTTACAATGAGGTTAGCCCATCTGGGAACTCACGTACTGTAAGACAGGGATAAGGTTTGTGGAGAGAAGTAAACAGCGTGGGCCATGCTTAATTTCAAATTTGCGTTTACATGGAATGATTAGAGTTCATTTGTCCCGCTAAATGTAACTGTCGACCAACTTCGACGTAGGTTTGTAGAGCAGGACATGTGGGAGCTTTCATAACTTTGCTCCATGTGGAGGGTGCAAAAACACGGCTAGCAAGGCGAGTTCGTCCCGAACGGACCAGTTAGTGGTGAGTAAATGCATGGATAAAACTGAACGCTTTCCAGCAAGAGGTCGAAATGTAGTGAAATACCATGTAAGGACAAGCATCTCTGATGACCTAGCAAGAGAGGGAGCCTGAAAAGAAACAACCCCACAATTTATAAAAGCCATTGTATTATGTCGTATCCGTTCTTGTTTCATGTACGCGAAGCACATAGCACTGCGCGCTTACTTGTGCAGGAACGAGGGGGCGGGCGTGGTACAAGTTGTCCTCTTCCTCAGCGGACACTAAGTTCGGACCGGAGTAATACATGAAGTCACATCTTTTCCAAAACTCACGTTTAAAGTGCTGAAGTAGAGTGAGCCTGCAAGATCTCATGCATGCTGTGGTACCATAATTTCACAACAACACAGATGATCAACTTGCCTCTGTATTACGAAGAAAATAAACGGAGTTGGACCAGGCACACATTGGAGAATAAAATAGTTTCCTAACATAATGCTTACAATAGTTTTAACTTTATGAGAGGAACAGCATAACTGGTTGTTTGGTTACAAATGAGATCTGATGCCTGCCAGCACAGGGCAATGGTATCAGGAATCTGACGGTAACCAGCAGCTGACAGCTGCAGAGGGGTTCGCCTGTCAGACGAATGTGAAAGGCGTGTAATTACTATGTTTGGAGTAAAATTGTGGTCTGTTGCTTCAAAAACTTGGATAAACGGATGATTTCGTCTCTATTAGGACACATCCGGTAACCGTACACAGGTCGAGCAAATGAACCATTGGTTCTAATTGCCATGCGGAGCTGCAGAAACGTCAAACTGTTGGGCAGCATACGACTGAATCTCTTGACTCTTTTTAAAAGCCAGTATTCATTCCCCAATCTAGGTACGAAGCTTAGGAGTTTGGCCACTGCATTACAAAGCTCCTCGTGCGGTAA